GAATTTAACGATTTCCAAAAATAAACTATATTGAATTACGCTGACTTGGTTATTTGCACACACACACACACACACACACACACACACACGGGAAAGCTATTTTGTAAGTGCATCTTGCAACAGTGGCATTTTAAAATAATACATATTAAATTAAAGTTTATAATCTTTTAAATTATAACAAACGATAATGCCTGAGTGTATGATACATTTTAGATGTAAATATTATTCTATTTGAAAAAAAGGAAAGCGTTAGGGGAAAAGTGGTCCTGAAATGCGAATAAAACGAACTATTTTAACGGCGGAAGTAATGTAATATCATATCTATGTAACATAATTTTGCATAAATTTCAACTTTGCCAAATTTTTATATTCCCGTGTATTTATAATTATAGTTGCGAAACCAAATGAGAATTAAGATTTATCATTTAAAAGGCCTACAAGGCCAAATGGAGGAAGACTGCTGCAACATGCGTTTCTTCAGTGGACGGCAAAACCTTCCTGGGCCTTAGACTCAGATCAGAAAAACAATCCTTGTCACCGTGAAATATGCAATCATAAACTACTAAATTGCGTCACAAGTTTATTTAATATATATTCATCAAAAGCCAGGTCCGGTCCCTGCGGCTCAGTAAACAAGTGTATCCAGTTTCTTCTCTTCAGTTGTCTGATTTGGGAGATTTATTTTATTTATCGTGGAAATTCACATAAAACCTGTGGTGTAAAATGTGAAAGACAGATATTTACTAACTGGTGCCATGCCAGTGTTCCGCATGACAACAATATTATTTTCCATTTTTATTGGGCAAGTGTGATTTGGGATTATCGTGGACCGGTGCTCTGGTGCAACTGTGATGTCCGCATCACGTTTGCAGCCGACACCACTTAAAATGGAGGATTTTAGCCATGTACCGGAACATCATAGCATTAGTTGTAGCATTGGGGGGTTGTTACAGTGAACGTCAGACTATATTATCACAGATTTATGAGCACAAAGCAGTCATAATACACTATAAAGAGACTCAGCCGTCATAAAAGAGCAAACGCATAATAAAGACCTTCAGGACTGAAGCGGAGCAGAAATATAAAATATTTTACAAAGAAAAAAAGATCTTGTCATTTATAAACGGAATGGATTTTGACATTACGAAAATAAGTCTGGTGTATAGTCTACAGTATAATGATTGTAATAATTTTAATCCCTCGCAAATCTGTGTGTCACGGCTCAATCTGAACAGGCCGGACAGCCCGCAGCGGGCCACGCAGGCCACGCAGGCCGTCCCGGACATCACTTGTTCTGAGGACGGCGCTACTATTTAACACCATATAAAGCTAAACACGTTCAGTACAACCAAATACAAGACGAATGGATGCTACTACGGACATCATTGGACAACACATCACAGACAAAAGCCAGTTTCAATTTTTATTTCTCAAAGTGTGCAGACATAACAGTGAAATGTAAAAACATTGTAGTGTCGGAGGTTAACTCAGAATCTGTGTGTAAACAGTGTACCTGCGAGCATCTCTCAAGCACTGGCGGTCTGAAGTACACTCGGGGGTTGGTGGCACCGATTGCGAGTGGTCAGCTTTGCTTCAGCAGCACGATCAATACTGGAGGCTTCAGCTAAAGTCTTAACTCCAATATTTACGTGCTGCTACAGTAAGGCGACCGGAAAGTGAGAAAGGCAAATCTAACCAACTTTGTATCATCAGGAAAACGACTGTCTGTCTATGTGGCATTACTGCAGACAGTAAAATGTCCATCCTCGGTGAGGAAGGGGCAACAGGTTGAAGAGCTGCAAGGTGACAGCGGGTTGTATATTCAGGCTTTACTGCGGCAGCACAGTATGGCCTGCATCTCAGTGTAACTCACAAACCATTCCGTGCTGCTACAGCACTGCCAGAACTGCAGTCATGGTCCCTTCGCTTCAGACTCTTATCTTCTGTGTTATTTGCATTCCTTCATCCTCCAGGCTTCTAGTCCACGGCACATGTTCACAGCTGAGTACAGACTTATTACCTATCGTTTATCTACCTAAAGACGTTCAGATGTTCAGCAGCAGGCTCCTGTCCGCTCCTAGAGGAGGTTCTCCACCTGAAACACAAACACAGAGACAACATATTTTAATGTAATTCTGAGGTCAGCCTGTCAAAATTGCAGTTAGGCAACAAAGTGCACTGTGTGGCCGAAAGTATGTGGACACCGGAATATTACAGCAGTATAAGGTTGTTGAACATCTCATAATAAAACCATGGGGATTTACTACATTGCTGTATCTGCCTCTAGTGTGTGTCGCCCACTTTGTCGTTGTTGTTGTTAGACCTGGCTGCAGAGATTTGCACCAATTTAGCCACAATGTGAGGTTGAGCATTGATGTTGTTTACCATCCAACATCACCTGGCTCAATGTTGGCTTCACTCCAAAGCTGTTGGTTTGAGTTGAGGTCAGTAAACTTCTTACAAACCAAACTCAGAAAAAAAGATGTCTTTGAGTCTTGCTTAATGCACCAGGGTGCTGTCATGTTGAAACACAAAAAGGTCCTTCCCCAAACTGTTACCACAACCCTGGAGGAACACTGTTGTCTAAAATATTACTGTATGCTGCAACATTAGAATTGCCCTTTAATTGGAAGCAAGCAGCCTAGGGACAGGGTTGTCCAAATACTGACCATATAGTGAACATCTCAAATTCAAAAGATTGGTGGCGACTACTTCCTTCTATAATAGTATTAGCATTTTAGTAGAAATAGCAGAACTGCTGTCACATGATTAAAATAAGATGGAAAAACAGAATTTGCCAGTTTGACATTGTTGACTCAAATGCTTTAGTAGCATAACTAATGTTCCAAACAATTTTACAACACTAATGTGGTAAAAAAAAAAAAAAAGGGAAAAAAATTCACACAGCACTGTGAAAACGTGGGGAGAGGAGACAAAAGGCAGTCTGTACTTTGCATGACACGGAATAAATATACATTTTTAGTCACCATAGCGCTCAAAATAATGTGGCATTTTCATATCTAGTAACATGGTATTATAGATGCTCCATATACAGCTGAGTGTAAAGAGTGTAGTAACAGAAACAACTGTACTTAACCTGGAAAGATTTTTTCCCCCTTTCGGCTCACTTCCTAGAAAAGTTTCACTGTGACAAAACAACCATCCGTTTAAAAAAAAATGCACTTTAACCTTTTAATGAAGCAAAGAGTCAAGCTGTTGGAGAGACAGCAAATCCCAAGTTTACTGAAGTGACAAGATATTGTGTCGATTCAAGCGTCACTTAGCAAACCACTGAAACCCAACCAGCTTCAGAGGTGTTGTTCAATAGCTGACCTCCCATGTGGAGGAAAGCAATTCAAATACAGAATTATCCCACTGGAGCAAACAATGAAGCTCCTCCAGTTGTAGC